AACTTATATTGTTTTCTTCTGGCTCCAGGTTATTGTATCCCTAATGTTCGTAGCATTGCTCGAGAGAATCTTTCACGATGTGGAGTGCTGCATTGGTTGCCTTTGCAAAGAGCTTGTCCTCTTCAAATGGAAGGTCCTCAATATTCAAATGGACTTCCCTAGGGAACCCTGACAGCTATAGCCAGGACATGTGTCTCAGTACTAGCGCTAATGCCATCAACCGTGCAGCTGTGTCCTCCGAGTCTAACGCTACCTGTAAAGCTGTTCGAGAGATCAAGGAACCCTCTCTGATATTGGATACAAACTGTTCTAATGTCCTCTGGTACATATTAAATAAATGAGTTGAACGTTTTGAACATGTTGTGGGAGTATTTTGCTTGCAGTGCCTCATAATTCTTGATTCGTAGCTGAAGGGAGGCTGAAGAGTATGCCTTTTTCCTCATTGCATCTAGCCGTTTGATTTCTTTGTCATAACCTGGGGTACTGTTGCTGTTGTTGTCCCCTCTGGTTAGCTGTCTCAACCACGAGTGAGTTTGGTGTGGGGTGAGAAAATAGGAATTCAACGTCAGCGGATGCAATGTAGTATTTCTTGTCCAGCTTCCTCTCTGTTGGGGACATCAATCCCAGAGTTTTCCAAATGGTCTTGGCAGGATCTATCAGAGTGTTGTTCATCAGGAAAACTATTCTATTATGTTGAGGCGAGATGAATATGTCAGTGAAATGTTTTTTCTGGGACCCCTCGGAGAGCTTTATGTCAAGCGTGTCCATCACCCTCCTAAACAAGTCTTGAAAACGCCTGTTGTCATCCCTCTTTATCGGTGACATGGGCAGGCTCTGAGCATCCATCGTGGAGTAGGAGGTGTTAGGTGGGATAGAGGAACTCTGCGTGTCCTACTCCATTGATGAGTTGCTATCAGAATCTGTTTGATCCCTGTCTGTTCGTGGTCATGAGTGCACCTCAGCTGACTGAGTTATCAGGATCAATGCGCTGTTAGGGAACTGTTGGGTCCTATACGGTGCCCAAGGATTCCAATATGCCCACTGTTGTGGGGGGCAGGGGTGAAAATCGGTGGAGGCATCCAACTGTGCCATTTGGCAAGCCTACAATTGCTGGTGCTGCACGTCCGTATGCGTAGGCACCCACGAGGGGTGTCCCTCCTCATCCTCACTGAATCTGGCCGATGTCCGTGATGCTGGTGTTGAGGAGGAGAGAGCGCCTAGAGCATGGTGTGCCATCGGTACCGAACAATGGAGAGCACGGTACCGGCGGTACTGTAAGATCCACCTCCATCATGAATGTCAGGACCGAGATCTGAGAGCCCAGCACTGCACTGCTCCTGGCAGCTGTTTGCATATGCACCACCAGAACTTTAAACTGTGTCTGTACCGGTGATACCGAGTGTTTACTGACACACGATATTCTACAGCTCTGGGGCTTGCCAGTGTTCTTACTGTTCCACAGTACCGCAGTTTCCACCAGTACCGGGTTCCTCAGGGGGGAGCCTGGGGCATGTGAGGCAAATCTGTGCTTCCCAGGAGGCTTGTCTGTAAGCTGGATCCTTTATCCTGCTTCTGTAAGCCCTGTTTGGTCTTAGCAGCCTGCTTAACTTTCTTTGAAATGCAAGAATGCTTTGAGCTCTGCTCCATTTTCCGGTTTCTAGCATGTCCCCTCCAGGGAGTGCTACTGTTGCTTTCTTCCCCAATGGGATTATCCCTGGGAGAAGGTGAGCAAGGCTGTGGCTCAGCCATACGGTGTTGAAACAACAGTTTCCTTTGGAGCTCCCTTGCCCTCTTCGATTGCAGGGCGGAGGACAGAAGCTAACAGGGTGATCTCTCCCTAGGCAGCACAGACACTGTTCACGCCCATCTGCTGGTGCAATTGAGGTTCCACACCTTGAGAACCTTTTAAAGCCCACAGGTGCAGGCATGGCAGGTACAGGATCATGAGAAGTCCTGTTGGGGAGTGGGACGTTGTGGCAGGAGCCACACGCCGCTTCCCCTGCTTGTCTTTTCCTCGCTCTTGTCTTCTCCTCTGATATTGATTTACTGTCTATCTCTTTCTCTCCTCCCCTCCGTCCCTTCCCCCCCCCCCAGGGAAATGCGACCAAAGCCAGCGGTGGTTAAGAAGGAACTGAGAACACAGCCGCTGGCACATGCTCAACTGTCATTTGGGTGATTGCACAATAGTGCGGCACACGCCGGTGGATGGAAGACTGCTCATAAGAATCACCGGTCTGGTGCACAGCGGCACTGACACACCTGAATGGAGCTCCCACAGGGACCCTCAAAGAAGAGGAGGAAGCAGTATAACAAATTTGGTGGTCCTAGCTCTGACTTAAGGAGGAATTCTTGAAAAAATGGATTCATTGACCGACAGACAGATACTATATATTTTAGAAACATTGTGCATGAGAAATAGACTAAAGGCCTAAACATGCTTTCATTAAATTTAATGGGAGCAGTATTGTGCCCATACCATACACCAGTGTTCCTCAAATTGGGACTAGGACCTGCTTTGGGAAAGCTGCTAATGGGCCCATGTGCTTTGTTTATCTAAAGGGTCTGTAGCCATGTAGCCTCATGGTTCCCATTGGCTCCGGTTCACTGTTTCCAACCAAGGGAGCCATGGAAGTGGCATGGCCCAGGCCACCACTTCCCATAGGTCCTTTGGCTGGAAACTGTAGTCAGCTGTACAACGCTCCCCTCCCCCCCTCTCCCCGGAGTGTGGCTGGCTGGACACAAATTCCTGTTCCTCCCCCCGTCTCTTGTATTTCTAGCTCTTTCAGCTGCGGATTAAGCAAGTTTCCTGTTGAACAAATGTGGTTTAGGCAGTTCCTGTTATGGAGAGACCTGATGTTAGCAGCCTGCCTGAAAGAGTAACATTATTTTAATATAATTAATTGTATTCCTGCTTATGAATATGTATGTGTGCATGAGGAAGTGTGAATGAGAACCGCCAATCATATGGCAAAACAGCATGTAATACCTTTTATAGATTAAATTAACGTGACAGGAAGCCAGGTGTCGCTCTCTCTCTAGGACAAGATATAACAGCATGCCAAGCCTGGGACTAGACTGGAAGCAGTAGATTTCGCATGGCTCCAAAGAGACTCTTTGTCCCTAGGGAATTCTTGTCATCTTGTGGCCTGATCTGTGGGAGCTGTTGCCTGGCCAGTTACAGCTGCTTGTGAAATCGGAAGTAATCTATGCCGCACCTGCAACCTGCCTCTAAAGTGCCAATATGAATGTGATGTGTCTGAGTACCACTGTACCCTTAAGAATCTGTACTAATAAACAAATTTCAGTACTGCTTCAGATCACCCTTTGTCTGGGCTTTATTCCTTGACTGATTCCAAGGACAGATAACAGAAACAGAACCAATGGAAACTGTGAGGCTCCATGGCTATGGACCCTTTAAGTAAAAAAAGGGGCATGGGCCCACTAGCGACTGTCCCAAAGCAGGCCCCATCTGCACACAGTGGGCGGAGCCCAGCTAGAGGAGCCCCAATTCACCCAGGGCATGATAGGCAGGGTCAGATCAGCAGGACTTTGGCCGGCCAGGTTGATGGAGCCCCTAGCCCATGGTGAGCAGGCCAGCAGAACCCCAATTGCAGCGGCCTCTTCCAGGAGCAGACCCCCCTGAGGACCCAGCGTCTGCTGCTCTGCACCAGCCTGTTTAACTGGTTACATTATATAATTTTAATTAACCAGTTAATCATTTTAAGGGATATTTACATCCCTATTCTGCACATGGGTGGAAAAGATCAGAGGGAACATTGGTCGACATGGGTATATATGTGCTGCCTCCAATGCTGATCCAAGAGGTACTGCACTCAAGGAAAAATTTTCCGACAATCATCCATGCAGCATGCATACATCTAAATGGAACAGACATGAGCAATCAAAGAACTCTCTGGGACTAAGTGAGGAAATCTACTCACCATCCTGCACACTGGTTACAAGGCCACAAACTGAAGGTTTCTCTTCCAAGCACAGGCTGAAATAGATCATTAACCTCATTCATATGCCCAATAAAGTGCATTTGGGCCACTGAATTTGTCGCCTCCCCAATATAACCTTACATCCTCAATTATTCAGGCCTGTTCAGAATCCCCAATGTGCTGAACACACAAAGCATTTACCCTTCCTTCACAATACTTAGCTTATTGTGGACATGCGTCAAATTCCCTCCTGCCTTCAAAAACAGGTCTTTTTCCATGCCTTATGTGACACATCACCTTCACATTGGTGACAAAGGGTGGGTCCAAGTGTTCTGGCTGGGTCTGCAGGCTTCAGAGAGGGGCTGGGGTGTAGTAGTAGGTACAAACTCTGGAATGGAGGTTGGGGGAGAGAGTGTTACAGGCTCTGAGCTGGGAGTGTGGGCTTGGGGGTGAGGCCAGGGACGAGGACTTTGGAACATATGAGGGTGTTCAGGGCTGAGGTGGGCTCAAAGTGGGGTAGAGGATTGGAACTTGGCCTTACCTGGGGAGGCTTTGGGCCGGGGCTGATGGGGAGAGACTCTGCCAGTTGTGGCAAGTCCAGGGCATGGGGAGAGATCTCTCCCCACTGCTGCCCTGAGCCTTTGCTTGGTGTGTAATAGTTCCTGTGTGGCGTTTAACAGGAAGCTGCACGGTTGCACAGTTTAGGGAGAACTATGCTTATGCCCTACTTTCCTTGAAGAGGAGGAGAAAAGAGCTGCACTGCTATGTCAGATGCAGCATTTAAATTTTAAATCAGAACTTGAAAAGCACTTGAAAACATCCAAAAGGTTTCAACTAAGAATACGCATGTACAGCTGCTGAACTTTTTTTGGCGTAATTTTAGTGAAATGGCATAAGAGAAAGGACTGCAGTGACCCTCTAACTAAATGGGATGTAAAACAGAGAGTATGAAATGTGTTTTGTGAAGCAGAACTTGGTGTCAGGTTAAAGCTAGACACATCTCCTCCACAGAGTCTAAGCTTGTCAATTGTGCACCTAAAATTTTATGGGAAAGGATACTGTTTGATGCTGTCCACCAGTGGTCCATAACAACAGTCATTCACAGTACACTGCAGACAAATAAGGGTAGTAGTATATTAATGGTCAGCTACAAAACTATTATAGTTAAACAATACCCTAAAAACAATAATTACTTTTCCTCGAAGAGGCTATCAAAATCTGTTTGGATATAATCATAGAAAACAAAAATTGCATACTTTTTATTCACTATAAAAGCTAGCTATTAAAAAGTGAAATGCTTTCCTCGCAAATATTGCATTGCCATTTATGGTGCACCCTGACCTCAGTGATAGTTTATGATGACAGTAATTAAATGAGGTTTAAAATCCTTTACTCTGCTAGGCAGATAACAGCACTGCCACGGAAAAAAGATCGCTGTGATTAATACCTGATAGACCTGATTTGCTAGAACTCCATCTGGAATCAGGGAAGGGTCTCGCAGCATACTATTTATAAGCGTCTTGGAGGCTATGTAAGAAAAAGAAAATTGTTAGCTTAACAAACATATTACTATCCAGCTGTCAAAAAGTGAAATATATTTTTAAAAAGGAAAATGTTGGTTACACTGATAAAATGAGGTTACTTTAGCTATAACTGAAGGTTGTTCAAGATTTGTGATCCCTACCTGTATGTCACTAAGGATTATGAGCATGTCCTAGGTGCCCAGAGGTGGAGCTTTTGAATGTAATAGTTTGTCGGAGTGATAAAGGGTGTGGCAGGCCACCAGCATCTACAGTTCCCTCTTTGCTGTGGAGCTGCTAAATCCACAACAGAGGGGAAAGACGGTGAGTTAGGAAATGTTAGGACAGTGAATTAGGAACGAAGGACGGTGAGTTAGGTCCTTAGCACTGGTACCAGAAGACTCTGATGGAGATTCTGCAATAGGGTGCACTTTTTGCCTGTTCAGGCTGATGTACAGAGATGACGGGGTTTCCCCAGCTAGGATCTAATGATGGTCCCATGGCACCTCCATAAGGTGTTTCCAGAGGCAGAGGGTATGGGCAGGAAAAGAGAGGCAAGTGCTGCACCTGGGTGCAATGTTGGCTTCCCTCACGCATAACAAGCAGTGCTATTTCTCATTACTGATGAAAAACAAGCAAGGGCAGGACATGCTGGCTTTATATCCCGATGTCTTTGGCATAATTCAGTACCCATGCCTGGCTATTGGGAGGTGGGGAAAGGTGTAAAGTTTGGCAGGAAGCACTGTTGAGATGGTGTCCCAAGTGCTAACTCGGGTATGAAAGGAAGAACTAGAGGAAAAAAACCCCAAAATGCAAAATAAGAAATCTAAACTATTAACAGCACTATGGATAGCTTTAAAAAGGAGATTAGGAGTAGAAGCTCTGATTTGGACAATGTGGTGGCAAGAAGGAACTAGAGGAGCTGGTGGCCTACCACGCGCTTTATCGTCCTTGGCAAGGCCATAAGGCAGCAGTGGGCATTCACAGACCCCTGAAGAGTACTACTTCCAAATGCTATGGCTCTAAGAGAATGTGCATGACCCTCAAGTGAAACACAACAGAAACCATTACTCAAAGAACTCTATTACACAAAAAAGCAGTTGCAGTATATTCTCCTCCATTTGTTAGTCACTTCTTTCTTATATGATTTCATTCTGATAACTTCAGAACCACAAAGGCATGTTATAAACACAGGGCCAAATTCTGACTTAAGTTATACTTGTGCAACCCTATTCCGCAAAGCAGTATGCACAGGAATATGTTCTAGGAAAACATCTTAAATTTTAAAAAGCAAGAGGTTAAGATTAGAGGAGGAAGATAAATAGAACTTCAAACAGGTGTTAATTATATTAAAGACAGTTGTATGACCAGTTTTAGTGGTATTTTGGGACCTGAAGATTCCACTTTAACACTTTCTACATTTTTGCTGCATATGTTCATTAGCAGCACATTTATTTACTCTCACTTCAAATATGCTAATCTAAACTCAGAAAACAGAAAAAACTAAATGATAGAATGAATAAATAAATAAATAAAGTCTCATAAGCAATATTCTTTGTCTTATTTTTTCACAATGTAATTTATTCTTGTCGATCAAATGGGCTTTTCAATGATCACTATCAGGAAATTGTTTTATATTTAAATATAATCTCTGTAAAAGTCCAGCAGCTATTGTCTCTGTGGACTGCTAATCTGAGCAATGTTGCATAACAATTTATAATAAGAATCATAAGATTTTTAGAACTGTTCCTGTTTCAGAATTTATAATATAGTAGTAAAAATATTTAGAATCCCTTATTAGCTCCAAGTTACAGAAATTGAAATAATGTGGCTTACACTTGGTTATATTATATGTGGAACATAAGATTTCTGAAAGAACATGTTATATAAAAATCAAATAAATGTATGAAATTAACTACAGAAAAACATGTAAGTTAAATAATATATTCCCAGAACACTTCTTGGATACCATTATGTGCAAGACTGCAAAGATAAATCATAAAATAATTTTAAAATGTTACATCAACAACAAACTCAGTTCAACTTTAGCATTCTTCATTTTAAAATAAATAGTATCAATTAAGTAGACAGACTTTTAAAAACAGTAAGGATAATATAAAAAGTTTGAAGTATGAATACACTCCATCATATATTACAAAATGGTATATAACTTAAAAGGAAACGTGGAAGAAAGGTGAGGTCCGAGAATAGATAACATGGGATATAAATCAGGTATAAACAAGGTCACTACCTGGACTTTTAGGCTATGTCTAGACTATATCTCTCTTTTGAAAGAGGGATGTAAATTAGGCAGATCAAAAGTGCAAATGAAGCGCAGATTTAAATATCCCACACTTCATACGCATATTTGCGTCTGAATGCTGTTTCAAAAAAGGTTATTTCGAAAGTGAAACCGCAGTCTAGATGAGGTTCTTTAGGAAAAAACCCTTTTCCAAAAGAGCCCGTAATCCTGAAAAAAATGAGGGATGTAGTCTAGACATAGCCTCAGACATACATCAGTAATGACTGAAAGTTAGTATCTGAAGGTTTTTCAAATAATCAGCACAAATGAGTTGGAGGCAATTTCTTGCAGAAATGCATCCATAATACAAAAAACTGCCAAGCTTCACAAACTTGTTGGTAATCTAGCAAGAAAGGCCGGGGACTCAACAGGACTAGAAGCTAAAAAGCTTTATCACAAGAGAGAACAAATACAATTTTAGGCACATTGAAACACGCTGTCAGAAGGGCCTGGGATTCTTCTGTGGTTATGATACTGGACTAAGGCCTGATCTAGACTAGAAAATGTTACCAGCATAACTATACCAATTAAGAATAGGAAAAAAAAATCGTATTCCCATCCAACATACATAGC